ATGTTGATAACGATGATGATGATGCGAATGATTATGATGATGATGATGATGACGAGGCGGAAGAAGATGAGCGCGATGATGGTGATGATCATTACCACAATATTGGCGATGAAAAAATCTGATGATGATGATGACGACACAACATCACGTGATCATTTATATTTGCCTTTAATTAAACATTTTTGGAAAACTAATTTAATATTTTCAAATAATTTGAAGTTTTTAACAAAACAATCACCACCAAACTCATTATCATCATCGTTATAATCATCATCATTATCATCAGCATCATCATCACCATCATCATCTTCATCATCATCAGCATCAGCATGCATGTTCATCATTATCACAACCACACCACAGTCGCCATAATCGTCGTCGTCATCATCATCATCACAAGAGACTTCTCGTCAAATATTGACGATGGTGATGATGATGATGGCGATGATTGAATTGAAAATGATGACGATGACGACAATGATGATGATGTTACTACTGATGTTGCATGTTTAATTGCACTGCCAAGCTGCCTGCCTGACACAACACCTGATCAAAATCCATCCATCCATCCATCCATCCATCCATCCATCCATCCATCCATCCATCCATCCATCCATCCATCCATCCATTCATTCATTCATTTATTCATTCATTCATTTATTCATTCATTCATTCGTTCGTTCATTTATTCATTCACTCTCTCACTCATTCATTCATTCATTTATTCATTCATTCTCTTACTCATTCATTCATTCACTCTCTCACTCATTTCAGTGAGTAGTTCATTTTTTTCATTCGTTCATTTATTTTTCTTTGAACTCATTTAAACTTTCGAAATTTCTTCCATCTTTACTGAATTCAATTTGTCTTATCTCAAAAAAATTTTCATTATTTCCACATTTTTACACCTTCTTGCATTTTTTCATTCCTTTATTTTTTCATTCCTTCATTTTTTCATTCCTTCATTTTTTCATTCCTTCATTTTTTCATTCCTTCATTTTTTCATTTCTTTATTTTTTCATTCCTTCACTCTTTCATTTTTTCATTTTTTTATTTTTTGTATTCTTTCATTCCTTCATTTTTTCATTCCTTCATTCTTTCATTTCTTCATTTTTTCATTCTTTTATTTTTTCATTCCTTCATTCTTTCACATTTTTTCATTTTTTTCGTTCCTTCATTCACTTTTTCCATTTCAGTCATTTTATTTTCATTTATTTCTCCGCTCCACTCACTCCAATCAATTTAATTCTTTCTATTTCGTTTCATTAATTTTACAAATTATTTATTGTTTAATAAATTAATTTTCTTAATTATTCATTTAATCATTTATTTATTTTATTTATTTGTTTATTTATTTTCACCCATTTATTTATTTTATTTATTTGTTTAAAGACCATTAACGTTTCACCGTTCATCAAAATTTTTCAATTTCAATAAATTTGAAAACTTGCGGAATTTAGAATTACATAAGAGGGCCGCCCACCTTCAACATCTCCTCAACATTTCCAGACTTCTCATCCAGCAACCTGTTCAGACTTCTCATCCAGCCTGCCTGTAGCCAATGCATCTGACACTTTCCATGAAATTTTAATTAAATCAGAAAAAAATTATTTTCAACTTAATGACGCAGTAATGACGTCAGTGTTTGCCAATGTGATGATGATGTAATGATGGCGAAAGTGGTGATCATCATCATCATCGATGTCATCGTCATCATCATCAC